AAAGGTGTAGAGTATCCATAATTACCTCTGGAAATAACATAGTCACCTGATTCCTTGCTCAAGGTCCTTTGTGCATTCAAAGTTCGTTTCGGTTCGGGCTGCTATTCCTTAGAGTTGCCGAAAAACACCAAAGTGTCTGTCCACTAGATCCACTTTGGACGACGAGAGTCTGTCGAATACTCCGTCGTTCAGTCAGTCAGTTTGTCGGTTAGTTAGTTAGTGAGTTGGTATAGGAACTGCCGAATATTCATAAGCTGTTAAATCTAATGTCTTTATTATACACTTTAAATGTTATGGCAAATTTTATAATCGTATAGAGAGAGGGACAAGTAAACAACACTGCGACGTGTCTCGATGTTGATGATAATAACAATAAATAATCATTTGTACTTTATGGAATATAGGAGAGAGAGCGATAGAGAGAGGGAGAGATTTTGGCGGCGGTGGTGACTAGCAGACAGATAAACAAAAGTTTGTTTTTGCATCATATGACGATGATGATGGTGATGATGCACTATTGTGTATGTGTGTGTGTGTGTGTGCGTGAGTGTTGGTTGGTGATTTCGTTGTATATCTCTCTTATTTTGCTTATTTACACTTATTTACTTTATGTATCTATTTATCTATTCGACTTTACGCATATTTTTTTGTCGATATTAAATTATCAAGCATATATCTAACTGTGTGTGTGTGCGTGTGTCTATCATATAATATCTAATGTTGAAGAGGAAGCAAATTCTATAATATAATTATTCTTGTTTTGATCGGTTCTTATTATTGTTATGATCATTATGATTATTTGTTATGACTGTGAGAGAGAGATATCAATGTGTGGTGCATTCGTTCACTCACACTCATCATCCGGCAGTACCTGTCCAGTATGATAGTTTGAATCAGGCCAGGCCCGCTTATCTCGTTGTCTGTCTGCCTGCCTGCCTGCTTGGTCCATTAAGGATAGAGTATATGAATTATGCGAGAGTGGGCAGAACACATAGTTTTGTTACCATGTGATCTGTTCACGAGTTTATCAAGCCATTATATCATGTGATACATCTATATATATCTATGTATATCGCGTTGTTGTGTACTGCTTGATTGCCTTGGGGGAAGGAAATATACTTACTACTTGTTTACGTATTTTTATAGTAGTATTAGTAATAGTAGTATACATTTATTTGCTATTATTGTCACTATTGTTGTTGCCATGGTTACCAAGTGGAACATAAGGGGACCTCAACAGCTCAAATCTATCTGTATTTCATCAACATTCTCTGCAAGACCTTTTTAGCTAACCCCCCCCCAGAGGATTGCCCATCACAATCTGTCATTTCCTCCTCCATGTCACACCTGGACTCATGCCCACTCATGTCGTTTCCAATTCGGGTTCCTCTCGGGCGATGGTTTGGCATGAGACGTGGCTGAACGGTCTTCTCAGTGGCGTATGTGTGTGTGTGTGTGTCCGATCCATCTCCACTTTCTTCTACATATTTGTTGAGCAAATAGGTTCTTGTTCAAGTATTGGTTTATGGGGATTTTGTTTGATTGGTTATCAGCCTAGTTTGAGACTCGTCAACAGTACGCACTCACCACACCATCAGGGTTCGAACCCAGGACTTTCTGGTTACAAAGCGAGCAAACTCGTATACCATTCATCAGCTACTGGGACCCGCCAATCCACTGATAGCCAGTCAGTGCATAAATTCCAACTTCTGCTGGTTAATTCATGGACATAGCGCAACCGCTAGCCAATGTCTTCTGTGGCGCGAGTATTTGTCCTCACATTCGACCGACCACCTGTCGTACCCTACTGTTCACGACTTCCCACTGGAACTCAGGTAACTAACTACACCTACCTGAATGCATAGGACCAGTTGCCGCTAATGAGCATCTCATTGATATTGAGGATTTCCAAACTAGGACGAAACAGCTGTCCAACACTCTCTGTAGGTTTTCCAATGATTCTCTAACCAACCGATGTCAGCTCATGATGATAAAATCCTGTAACAAATAAGTTCTTGATTGGTTCGTTTCTAGAGTTTCTTGTGGTTAATTCTTCAATATGGGACCGAAGTCTTCAGTTGGCTGGTGAGAATGCTTTTCATGACGCCAGTGTTCAAGTTTTCTGACCCATATAAAAGGACTGACTGACTGATTTAACATTGGTATTGGAAATTGGGATTTTGTTCTTTGTACAGACTGTGATATACTTTCAAACTGATTTCAGAGTGACAATATTGGCTTTATTCACATTATCTAACAAAGGAAGTTATCCCTTTTCTTATCTGTGTATGTGTGTGTGTGTGTGTGTGTTTACAACCAAAAAGGAGGCCTCTTTTCAGTTGTCTGTATCGATTTTTTTTGTTCCTTCACGTTCCCAGTGGAACATAGGACTTGAAGCTAAAGGCTTGACGTTTCTGCAGCAGTATTTACTTTGACGGGATGGGGTTGCTAGCCTCATGGCCAACCTTTCCTCTTTACCAGCTTTTATTACTGGGTTAGTGAGGTAAAGGAGTGCATCCGTTGGTCGGGGATCGAACCCAAGACCATGTGCATGGTCGGCGAGCATCCTAACCACGTAATAACCACTTGTGTGTCAATTGTTAGAATTAAATATAAATTCCGTTAAGTAGTTCCTCCTTTTCCCATATCTATGTTAGTTAGGTATATTTCGAACTGACGTCAGTTAGAGAACCACCAGCAGGGAATACTGGACATGTGTTTCGTCCTAGTTTGGAATTGTTCAGTAGTACGCACCAACTCCACTGTAGTTTGAACCCATAACCTTCCAGTTGGCTACAAGGCGAGCTTTTATACTGTTCAACCACTTGGACCCTATTCATTATTAACCTTTGAATTCTATCTTCTACCAATTCACTCTATATACAGCATAATCACTAGACAGTATTATTGGTGAATGAGTGTCCTCTTATCCGACTTGATGAACGATATACTGGTCACGACTTTTCACTAGGAAAATCTCCAGGTAACTTTCTGTATAGAATTAGTCACTACTAGTGAGCATCAGATTAGTTTCAAAATGAATTGGTTATGAATAAAGCAAGAACAACAAGAAGAATAAGAAATGGTACCATCATTGTTTATTTCGTCGGCTTCTCATCAGCCACTGCTTACAGCCTCAATAAATTGTTTCTAAGTTTATGTACAGAAAAGTTTTAACATACTTGCAAATTTTACATGATGTTAGTTAGTTGACAGAAGATTCCAAACTTAGTGGACAATGCTCGGAGAATTACACTCATATTGTTTTTACACAGGGAGCTCAATTTTGGACAAAGTAAAATGTATGCATAGAATGAATGGTAAGGAGTTATGTAATAAAGACGAGAGGTGGTGGCTAAGATAATGAATGAGTGGTTAAGAAATTTTGCAACAATGCTGCACTGAGTTCAACTCAAATTATAGACACAAGAGACAAACAAAATTACACTATAATCAAAGGGTGATGAGTTTAAAGCCAAAGATTACGTAATCAAATGAAAAGGAGGAAAGAGTGATGAGATAAGTGGCTTCTCTTTCTGAGCAACCACATAAATCGGATTTCAGACATTTGATAGAGATTACATCGGCAAACTTGAAAAGAATTAAACTCTTTTGCCTATTGATAATTTTGAACGACTTTGTGACGTCGTCCTCATCAAGGAGAGATACCTGGTAATAGCATTGTTGAAAGCATTTGTTCCCTTGAGACGACGTAGGCTTTTTGGTACATGTACAGAAAAATCGGAATTGTGCCCTTCTTCTTTCTGTTCTCCTTATGTAACTGCTCTGACAGAATTGGTTATGGTTGGTTATAGGCTATATATGTCGCAAATTGGCAGAATTTTGGATTCATGAACACTACTGAATCGCGTCCCAGTAGCTGAATCGTTTACAGGGTCACCTTGTGACCTGAAGTTACTATTGGGCGAAATAGCTGTTGAGTACTGCCCCCCTCCACTGAGACGAGATATGTGTTAGCTCATTATCACGCCTTGTGCGTCTGTATCACAGTGGTTAGGACACTCGCCGACCATGCACATGGTCCGAGGTTCGATCCCCTGCAGACGCACACCTTGATATCTATGGTCGGCCTGCGAAATTTGGACTACCGATGATATCCATGCTGAAAATTCCATACTTGTACCAAAAATACAATGTGGAATCAAGCTGTAATAAAAAAATAAAATAAATCAGATTCTCTGAAAAAAAAGCAACAGCAATAATAACAATATTCGAATTTAATTGGTGGATGGTGACTACCAGTGAAATCCACCAGGATAAAGCTCATTTCGTCCTATTTGGGACCCATCAACCAGTGGATGTACCTGCATTCCTCAGTCAATCAGTGCTGATATTCTTACCAAGGCTCGAACCCAGTGTCCATAGTTTCAAACGCCATAGCGGGTTATTCACTAGACGACTTGGGCCGCGACAGCCACTTCTTGTGCAACAGGTCATATTAATTATTTAATTAAATTTTAGATTTTCCCGTCGATTGATCAATATGACCTGTTGCGCAAGAGGTGGGGTGGCTTTCGTGGCCCAAGTGGTCTAGTAGATAACTCGCTTTGGTGTTTGAAACTATAGGTACTGGGTTCGAGCCTCGGTGGTGGGAACATCATCATCATTGACTGACTGGGGGAATGCAGGCAGGTACATCCACTGGCTGACGAGTCCCAAATAGAACGAAATGCGCCCTATACTGGATTCCACTACCGCTAGTCATCGTCCACTAACTGACTTCATGTTGCATGACTACAGACATCGTCGAAGCATCTGGACAAAGCGGAGGAGCGCCGACATGTGAACCTGAGATCAAGCACTTTGGTCCAATGAATCAATCGACGGGAAAAATATATTTGAAAATATAAATTTTGGCATATTTTTTGATTAGTACATCTATATGTATGTATATATAACTTTGTAATTCTTCTTCTTCTTTTGTTTTCTTCCTCCCCTTTCCCCCGTCCCACCGGTAATTCTATTCTCTTCTATTTCAGTGGTCGTACAAGTGGATTAATTGAACAATTATTACGTAATGATCATACAATTGGAATGAATAATTCTACAACAATGCATACAATAGATCGTTTATCTTCAGATCATTATCCTACAAATTTATTTCCTTCATGTCACTCAGGTAAATCTTCTTTAACAACTGGTATTAATAATAATACAAGTATGTGCAATTCTCTACAACAAATGGATACATTAAATTGTTCAGATTATTTATCTGGCAATAGTAGTACACTTGAAGCAGCCTCATCATCCTTATCTCATATGGATTTAATTAGACAACACCACCAACACCAACAACAACAGCAACAGCAACACCAACAACAACACCAACACCAACAACACCAGCAATCATTACATCATTCAAGTGCTGCTGCAGCTGCCCTGCTTAGTCATATTAATAATAATCCATCACGTGGATCATCTAATAATGCATCAGCGCATCATTTATTACCAGTACCTTTGTTAACCAGTGGGGGTGGTAGTGAACAACATCATGGATCCTCATCAGCAGCAGCAACTGCAGCAGCGGCTGCCGCTCAATCTTACTGGCAAGCAGCTTATCGTTCATCTGCATCATCATGCTTCTATCCAGTTGGTGGACATTATAATCCATCAATTTCATCTACACCGATAGGCACTGGTGTTGGTGGGGGTGGTAACAATAGTTTCACTGCTTCATTCTATGATACTTCTTCACATTTACTCCATTCAGCAGCATCCAATGATACAGGAGGAGGTAAATTACTACCGTTTTTAAATTCATGTTCATCATCAGCATCGAATGGTCCGACTACACCGAGTTCATCATCACCACCGCCAGCAACAACCTCAGTTAATTCATGGCGTCATTCATTAGGATTAGATATGCGTCTATTCAGTGATACGCATAATTCTCAACGATCAACAGTTGCTGATCATCCTATGCCACCTTTATCATCGTCGTCATCATCGGCATCGTTATCGTGTTCCGTACAAAATAATAGTGTTCTAGAGAATACGAATCGATCACTGGGACCAGTAACACCACCAGATTTAATGTATTTCCCACAGACAACATCACTATTCAATATGGAGTCGTCGTCATCTTACCAGCAGCAACAGCAGCAACAACAGTCGAAACAAGATAATGACGATAATGATACATTAATGACAGAAGAATTATGCAATTTAGGTCGATCGAATCGTTCATTGATGAATACAGCCTATGAAACGCCACAACAACAACAACAACAACAACAAAATTCATCAACACCGCCACCACCGTCATCAACGTCAACATCATCGTCGTCGCCTCCTGCTTCTGCTTCTACTTCTGTCGCAGCTTCAGCTTCAGTCTCAGCATTCACTGCAAATTTAAATCAATCCTCACGTCCTCCGTCTATTATTAATGATCGTACAACATGTAGAGAAATGCGACAATATATTGAAGCGTATAACACTGCCGCATCATCTTATGAAGATGATTGTGAACCATTAGAATTGGAATTGAGTTTAGAGCTGGCTGATCGAATTGTTGGCAGTACTAGTGTTGGCACGTCAACAGCTAATCCAATCACGTCGAGTTATGGATGTCCACCAGCACCAAATTAATTAATTAATTAATTCATACACATAAAAAAAAATACCAATGCCCATTCCTTCTAATCATCAATCACTATTGAAACATCTCTTTCATATTTTGGTTTGGAAAAATTATAATGATCAACAAAGAACGGGGAAGAACTGATGTTGTCATGATTGTTATGGTTGTTGCTGTTGATGACGTAATAACTTAAATTCTATGTCTTTTGGAGATTCATATAAATCTTCCAACGAAAATACTACTACTACTAATAATAATAATATATTGATATATATATCTATACATTTATATAAATATGTATGTGTGTGTATTTGATGAAGGCAGCTTGCATAAACCTCCGAATTCATCTTTCATTACCAGTTCTTCTTGTTTTTACTTTTTTTTTTTGAGAAAATATTCCCTCTTCTCTGTCCTTCTTTAGAGGATTTGATGAGACGGTTTTCTTCTGTGTGTTTGTGTGTGTGTGTGTGAGAGAGAGATAGGGAGGGATGGAGAGAAGGAAGCCCAGTGTTTCACAGTGTTTCCATCTTCTACTCTTCTGTCAGTTATATTATTGACCCACTGCTACCAGTGTATCTTGCCAGTATGTATAACCAAGAGTTGTTGTCTTTCCCTCATCTCCCGTCCCATCCCATCCCATCCCATCTTACCCCACTCATCCCGCACTGTCGTGGCACTGTTGTGTGGCACACACATTTTTGAGCAGGATTATTTGTTGTCTTCTAGTGCCTGCCTGCGTGCGTGCGTGCGTGCGTCCGCCTCAATACATATATATACATTTATATTTATGCCTAAATTGATAAAAAACCTATTCAGGTCTGTAATTATTGCAAAAAAGGGAATGTGTGTGTGTGTGAAATGGAAAGTTTTAATAGCGCCTATTCTTATTATTATCATTACTCTTTTTCTTATTCTTTTTATTATTATTATGAATCCAACTTTGCTCCCACCCACCCACACACATATATGACCCCGGTTCATACGAAATTGATTATGTACCCATTCATGTCTGAATAAGTGAGTGAGTGAAAGTCAGAATGACAGTCATAAAGCTACGAACCACCGGTTAATAACAAAAAAAACGAAACACAGACTTCAGGAATTCATTCAATTTTGGCGCCAGGGGTTGGAGTCTAATTAACTCCCTCATCGCTCCCTCCCCACCACCAACCCCCTGATCCCATCCATTTTGTTTTTTTTGAGTTGCTTTATTTTTACATTGAAATTCTTTGTTGTTTCTTATAATCGTCACCCCCTTCATCACCACCAGTACTGCTCTTTATTGTCTCTCGAGTCAGGTAAATTCATTGTTTTGTGTGTGTGTGTGTGTGCGTTTTTTTAATAACATGGTTTCACTTTGAGTTTTTAATTTTTTTTATTTATTTCTCTTTTTGTTTGTGTGTGTGTGTGTATGTGTTTATTATTCCTGATAATTATAATAATAATAATAATGATGAAAAGAAGAAGGATGTGACGAATGACTACACTATACATAGCAACAGCTGTACACTTCTCATTCATGAAAGGGGAGTTCATCTTGAAGCTTATGAGGAGGCAGAGAAATATCGTTATTAATTAGTAGTAACGCTTTTGTGTTTATGAGACGCATTGTTGTTGTTGTTGCCGATGTTCTTCTTTTCGCTTGACTTGTATCATCTCCTCATATTTCTTCATAAACCCGCCGCCACACACACACACATACTGCATTCTGTGTATTATCGGCAGGAATTTATCTACTGTAGTACGACGTATATACATATATATATGTATCCACTGAAAAGAAATTAAAGAAATACAATTGATTTTGTGACGATTTCGTCTATTTTGTGTGTTCATCATTGCCTATAACGGTGCTATCTACTCTCTCTATAATATTGCCCAACCATTACTATTATTATTATTATTACTACTACTATAATCATTGTCACTGATTGATTGATTGATTGAGTGAGTGAGTAGTGTTCACATCTCCTTTGTTCTCTGGTATATTTTTGTACTAATCTCCTCCTTCTTCTCCTGCTCTTCCGCCCTGTTTACTTACTTATTCGGTGAATTTAATTCTTTCTCTCTCTATTTGTATTCTCGATTGAGTGTTCCTGTTAACCTCTTCTTCTCTTTTCTTTACTTTGTATCTCTCTTATTCCTTCCTTCCTTCCTTCCTTCATTCATTCATTCATTCATTCCTTGATTCCTTCACACATACTGTCTATTTTATTGTGTGTCGTCAGTAATTGTTACATAATACCGATCTTCTTTTTTTCCTTTTTTTATTATTATTAAATAACATCCCGCGCAGCATTTACTCAGTGGAATAAAAATACATTCTATGTATCGTGAAAGACTTCCTAACCTCTTCACTCTCTCTCTCTCTCGCTCGCTGATTAATGATGACGATAATGGCGATATTGATGTTGAGCATTGCAGTTATATATTATTATGATTATTATTATTATTACTTTTTTGTATAACTCTTCATTTTTTTTATATTTATATAAGTGCTTTTTAATAGAAACACATTACACACACACACAGTGACAATTTTCAAGTCAGGGGATATATATATGCGTATATATACATACATCTATATGTAAGTTGTTGTACTGCTGAATGCGTATAACACAAATTGTCTTCTACTTCTTTGTCAGGTGTTCTCCTCGTGTCTCCTCCCTTCGCAGTATTTGCCCCCCCCAACCCCACCACGGCTTCTCTGTCTCTCACTGACTCACTCATTCACTCACTATCCATTGTTCTTTTTCTGTGCCGGTTTTTTAACTCCTGAACGTTGTCTGTCTGTGTGTTATACCCGTGTAGCTGTGATTTTGATGATATATATATATATATATATATATATATATATATATATATATATATATATATATATATATATACATATGTATACACAAAAAGAAAATACGCAGGGACTACTACTTCATTTGACCCCGATGTCTTCTCCTCTTCTTCTTCTGTACTTTATGCATATTACAAACCTGTTTACTATCTGTAGGTAAGCAAGCGCCAAGGATGAGGACAGATATACCATCGTCGTCGTGGTAAAACAAATCCTTCAGCTTTTATTTCTTTGTCCTCTTTACCTCCTCTTCCTCCCTTTTCTCCTCTCGCTAGTCGTCGACGTTACCGTCGTCCTCGCGTTGTTGTTGTTGTTGTCTGGTGTCATCACCCTTTTTTATCATCATTACTACTGCTGTATATGTGTTGATTGATTTTTCTTTGTGTATGTATGTGTGTGCGTGCATGTATTGTTCTATCCCGGCATTCTTTCTTTTTCAATTATTTAAACGAAAATAAAAACTAATGCAAAGTGTTTAAAACACACTCACATACACACCTCTGAATAGGTTGATTCATCAATGTATGTGTTCTCTGCGTTTCATTGTTTCATCTTTCAATCTTTGAATCATTCGTTCGTTCGTTCGCTCCTCCTCAGCCTTTCTTTATTCTTCTTTCTTATTATGGTCTATCTATGTGATCCCTTCTTGGTGTCTTTTTCCGCATAACTTTTGTGTGTGTACACTCGGTTACTAATTTATCTATTTAATATTTCTTCTCTTTATTTTTGTGAAGAAGGCGGGAAACAGTCATTCATTTCTCAGACGGTGTTGCATACATCCTGTCAGTGTCCCCCTCGTTTTTCTTTTGTCATTTGAAGTAAATTGCTGTCATAATATTAATACTACTACTACTACTAATAATAATCATTATGTCATTGAATAAAAAGATGAAAAAATTGCGCCATATCTTTTCCTTTATTTATTACTCGAATAATAGTAATAATAATAGTAATGATAGTAGTAATCCTCCTTTCTTTGCTTCTGTCTTCTATTCTTCGTGAGGATTTTTCCCCCCGTCTTAGTCTTCTTCAACACTTCCTTTTGAAGGATGCATTCACATTCAGGTATGATAAATGATAACCCCCCCTCCCCTTATTAAAAGGGTTTGCGGGGGCGGGAAAGTCTCTTGTCTTCTTATTTGTATCACTGATAATTGTAATATTCTATTTTCTTTGTCTTTCTCTTTGTTTCTGTCCACCCCCACCTCCCTTTGTCTGTGTGCGTGTGAGCGAGTGAGTGCCAGTATATGTGTTTGTATCGATTTCTCCGAATCCTTCTCCATTCATTATACTCACAGTCAGATAGATAGATGGATGTACACTCTATAATATACACAGTTTGAAATATACTCACTCATATATATATATATATATATATATATATATATATATATATATATATATATATATAATGTTTTTACTTTCCTACCTAATATTATCTAATTTTTTTACGTGTATTTCTTATACTACTAATGATAAAAACAACAATTGGTTCTTACCTCCTTTCCATATTTCAATAAAATGGCGGCCAATCCTTCCTTTTTGTGCGTGTTATGTAATTCATTCATTGTTCTTCTTCTGCCCACACAGGGTGCTACACACACTGAGCTGAGCTGAGATGAGAAGCAAATCTAATCAGGGGAAAATATATATGTACCTAACTTCTATTATGTATGTGTCACTTTCTTTCCATTATTTAGTAGTATGTGTGTGTGTGTATGTCGACAAAGCTTTCCAATTTTGATGCTTTTGTTTTTCCTTCAACAGGGATTTATTACCTATTACCAGTCTATTAATCAGGGGTACTATTCTTTGCTACTATTATTATTATTATTACCATTATCTGAGTAGATATATATATTTCAGACATCAGTTTTTTTAAAAAAAACCTTTATTATACTACTTGTATTACTGACAATAATGATAAAATAAGATATTTTTTAAGAACAAAATAAAGAAAACTGTTCTAACAATGCAAAATGCAAAAAATTCAGGAATATTACATAATAATAATGATAATAATTGTCATTTCACTTTTTGTTTCCGTCCCTATGTCCCTTCTTCCCACCCACCCCACCACCACCACCACAACTTACCCACCTCTGTTCACAAGTCTATATATTTGTCTACTAGTATTGTGTGTGTGTGCGTATGTATGTG